TACAAAGCACATTTAAGCAAAAAAAAGAGACATTTCAAACATCAGATAAAGTTGTCTATGGAGCAACTTGATTCAGCCCAATGTGCGGCGGAATATTCAAACAAATCTTAAGTTTTGCTTTTTGTTTTTTTTTTATTTCTTTTAACAATATAAAAACAATTTAATCTGGTTTAATATAAAATAAACGCTAAATAAATGGTTTTTTACTAGCGTTTCAGTGGCTTGGGTACATAAATATTGTTTCAGTTTATGCGTAATGTATAAGTTTAAATTTACGTTTCTAGATCGATCATTTTAAGAAATCAATGTTTAAACGTGGTATTATTATTAAAAACCCTATTACATATGTCGTTTCAGTATTCACTCATAAGACACTTATATTTATACTAGCTTTTTCTTGCAACTTCCTTTGTGCGGGAATAAAAAACATCTAGTAATAAATACCTAATAGATACTACGCGGTTAAAAAAAAGTAATTAGCCTATGTTTTCTTGTTTCTTCAACATCTTTGCCAAACATCGAGATCCGTTCAGTCATTTAGGCTAACATCCATCCATCTGAACTTTCGCATTTATAATATTAGTAAGATATACCTGTCTGTATCTGGAGGAGAATATTTGCGAGAGGCGCGCGAGGCCGAAGCCCTGCGCGGAGGGAGACTGCGCGGCGCTGTCGGGGCACTCCTCACACGGACTACCAGCTTCAGACTCCTAACAAACAAATAAGGTTTCTTTTACTAAAATACGACCAATATTTTGTCGACTTTTTTTAGACAACTTATTTAATTGATACTGTCGCTTTTAACTCAGAGCAACACTTCTCGTCAGGACTCAAGTTACGCGTCAATCTATCCATACTTCTAGTGACATTGACAGCTGTCAGCTGTCAGCTAGGGATGTGACGTTTATGGCGATAATCTAGTGTTGCGCCAATTCTACAGAACGGTACTAATTTCGTTCTTAACACTACTTACATTTTCTATACTCTAAAAATTAAGGCAATCTGCTTGTCCTGTACTTTGTGTATAATTTTTTATATGAAATCATAAATAGTTAATAATTATTTACAGCATAACTTTTTTATTTATTTACTAGCTTTCGCCCGCGACTCCGTTCGTGTGGAATTAGAAAAAACCAAACGTGAGTAGCCTATGTGTTCTTCCAGACTATCCTCTTCTACTAAATTTCATCGAAATCCGTTCAGCAGTTTAGGCTGCAAACTCTAACAAACATCCATCCATCCATCTAAACTTTCACATCGAAAATCCATCCATCTAAATTTGCCACCGTTATTAATTATTGCATTTAAATAGATTAGTTGGAGATTTAGGGCTTGTCCCGCCAAATAGTAAATTGTCTGATAACAATCCAACGTGTAAAATGTGATGGAAATATTGTTTTTTTCCTTATCTGACAGTCACGTAATATTAGCTATCTGAGTCTCTATCAGCCAGTGGTGGGAGAGGCCTTTAAAATTATAATAAATAAATGTGTGTGTGTGTTTGTGTGTGAACCTGTGCGTGTTGCGCGGGGCTGGCGGCGGCCTCTCGCGACTGCTCCAGTAACCTCGACGCTTCGTAACACGGAGGGAAACGTGCCGCCTGAAAATATTAAACATTACCACTTTATTTGCAATATTAGAATCCAAAACAGACATTTTAGACTGAATTTGCGGAAACAAAAGGATAATAATAAAAAACAAATGTATCTCTCCTTCTCCTTCCTATGCGTCTCATCCACCATCACATCCACTTTCCCTTCTCATGTATTCCTTTATAAGAAAAGGATGGAAAGGGAAAGGGAAACAGACTATAATTAAATTTTAAAGTCCTAGTGTTAGTGTTCGGCGTCGTCTTAATACGTTCAAACGACTAGCATTTAAATTGCATCACCAACAAGTTCTGACTGCGTGTAATTATTTCTTACGTTTTTTTTTCTGTTATTCCTAATTGTGTTGTGGTGATTAGATTAAATGTTATTTTATTTTATTTTAATTGCGCATTGTACATACGTCCGTGTAAATGCGCAGTGTACATACGAGTGCGAACTACGCAGTGTACATACGTCCGCGTAACTGCGCAGTGTAAGTACGTGTTACTGCGCAGTGTACATACGTGTAACTGCGCAGTGCACATACGTGTCACTACGCAGTGTACGTACATGTAACTGCGCAGTGCACATACGTGTCACTACGCAGTGTACGTACCTGTGCGTACTGCACGTTGTAGTGGTGCGCAGTGGCGCGCTCGGCGTGCGCGTAGCTGCGCAGTGCCGCGCGCTTCATGTGCATCTTGCAGATAGCCGACACCAGCAGCACCACCGCTATCATGAAGATCAGCGCACACGCTGTAAACAAACAAACATTTTAATGTCTACCTGAAGACGATATTATCTTACTAATATTATAAATGTGAAAATTTAGGTGGATGGATGGATGTTTGTTAGAGTTTGTAGTCAAAACGGCTGAAGGGATTTCTATAAAACTTGGTATAGATGTAGAGGATAGTCTGGAAGAACACATAGGCTATTCAGTTTTTTTTTTCATTCAACGAGGACGGAGTCGGGGGCGAAAGCTAATCACTAATATATGAAGACAAAGATTATTGCTCACTAAGTATAAAATCGCTTCGATGGGATATTTCACTTAAAAACGCTTACGCAAACATGACCAATTTTATGATATATTCGCTTCATATATCACGGCCGAATACTGAAACGACTTTTATATAATAGCTTTCTAAATGTTAAGACTATACGTAAAATCTAAATTACATTAACATTTTGATGTTAATGAGAACAATCTTATAAACAATCTGCTTCCAAAAGCTTTACGAAGCGATGTGTTTGAGATCGGTTTTATTATTTGGACGTGGAAAATTATTTTTTATTCATATATGATTCAATAACATTCCTAAATTACTACGGACGTAGAAACTAACCTGTAACAGTATATATAGTGGATTGGATGAAGCTATTCTCATCCGGGGCGTGATGGTCTTCGAACAGCGGCGGGTATTCCATCTCCACGTAGCCTGGAAATATACATATGAAAAATTAGCTATAGCTTGCGACATTGTGTAAAAAAAATAGCTTATATGGTCTTCCAGATTATGTTCTACATCTGTGCTATATTTTATCAAGATCAATCAATAAACTTAAGCATTTATAATATTAGTAACACCCAATCCAGTCAGCATTGCAACACTAATTTTAAAAATTTCTTTTTTTTCATTTCATTAGATAGGTTTCTCATTATTTTGTGTTAAATTCATAATTGTAGTGTTGATAAGGATTAATTTTATTTTACTTTATTTTTTTTATTCTATATATCCATTTGTATGCTTATAAAATATTGTCGATTCCAAATAAGTTTTAAAACTAAGCAAAATTATAAGTTTCTAAGCTTTTATAAATCTTTCTTCTGACTAATACTAGAAATGGAAAAGTTTACATGGATGGATATTTCTTAGAGTTTGTAGCCTAAATTGGTAAAAGGATCTCGATGAAATTTGGCATAACACAGGCTACTTACTTTTTTTAAATACCACACGAACAAAATCTCGTGACTCTAGTATAGAAACTATACATGTTACCATCTAAGTGTTTAGTTACTTGGTACACTTACTCTCAAGTCGTGAGTACCGCGGGTGTTCGCTGCAGCAGTCGGGCTGGCGGCACAGCGGGTCGCCGCCGCGGCAGCACGCGCCCTCCGATATACACCGCCCAGACGAACAGTTCAGTTTGTCGCTACCTATAGGTTTTGTATACAAATAAACCTTAAAAAACTAAAACAGTATTATGATATATTTGAAAATTCTTATATTTTTCCGATTACCTTATCCCAACGGCACTTGCTTAAGGAAGGTGATAAATTTATCAACCTATACAGGGTTATTGGTAATTAGACGTATTCCCGTTAGGAGGTAATAGAGGGGATCATTTGTGATAATTTTGACCTCTATATGTATTATCCAAGAGTTATCCAGATCCAGATCCATTTTCGAGTAATCTTTATTTTTAAATTATTTCAAAACCAGTCGAAATTGCAACTTTAAAAATTGATTATTTCACAATATAAAAACATCATTTTTCTGTTCAAATTATAAAATGCGAGCAAAAGAACCATTTTACTTTAATATTTTTCGAGATTCTCATCCACTGAAATGCCTTAAAAACGAAAAAAAGCAATATGGAACTTGGTCTGCAGATTTTTTTAAAAATATGCCCGTTTTCGTAGCTCTCCAAAAATGTATAATAACTAGGAACTTGACTTGAGGCCACTAAAATAATACATGATTTCAAAGAAATCGGGCGGTATTCGTACTAGAACTAAAGTTACGGTTGGTTTTGAAAACTCCCATAGGGGTAATTATAAAAAAAAAGCATCAGACAGAAAGCCTAATTATTCAAAAAGGCAGGTCAAATGACAAATTATAACCATTTTACATTTATAACAGGATTTATTTTGATTGACTATTATTTTTGCAATGGAAATATCTAGTTACAAAAATCACTAGTGACGCCGAAAAATTACTAGTTTCGTTACGTTTCTCGAAAATGACTCACGTCTATTTTCCATACATGGTGAGATAGATGGCGCTAATCACAATGTTAGTACAACGCCATCTATCTTCCCAACAAAGTACTAATGGCTCCTACATACGTGCACAAGGTCTCGCGGAGCAGAGCGAGGGTGCTTCGTCCTCCGCGTGCAGACAGTCGCGCCAGCCGTCGCACACGTAGTTAGCCAGCACGCAGCGGGACTCGCATGCGAACGCACCGCGCGCGCACTTGTTACCTTACATTATATCATACTAATATTATAAATGCGAAAGTTTAGATAGATGAACGGATTTTGACGAAATTTGGCATAGATGTAGAGGATAGTCTATAAGAACACATAGGCTGTTCACTTTTGTTTTAATTCCACGCGGACGGAGTCGCGGGCGAAAGCTAGTATTTATATAAAATATACATCATCATCATCACCAGCTCACTATGCGTCCCCACCGAGAGGCTCGGAGCCTACCCTGAGTCAGGTTGAGATCATAATCAACCACGCCCACTGTTACTAGACTTCACAAATATCTTTGAATTTTACGCTGATATGTGCATTCTTCACATTGTTTTCTTTCACCGTAAGAAAGTCGGATAAATTATGTACTTACGAAATTAGAAAATTCGAAAATCACATTGGTACATGGCGGGATTCGAACCCAAGATTAATAATCAAGTGCTTAAGCCACTGAGCCACACTCTTAACATTATACATAGTCCAATAATGACACTTGAAAGGGAAAATAAATTATGGTTGCTCATTAACACCCTCTTTTTATACTATTTCTATGTCCATGAAGGTTTTAGTTATTTCCTAATAGAACTTATAGCACTCCCTTAACGGTCAAGAAATCCTTGTTTGACTATACAAACTACAAACTTTGATATTAAACTCTTCATGGCTATGGATGTTTACATTGACAGCACCATTTATGCTGTTATTCAATTTAAGTAAAACGCATTGTTTAATTACAAACTAAATTACAAGTTAAATTTAGAGGGACATCTAGAGGGATATTTGAGCTTAGTTACCCTAAAGTTTGATTATTTCAATTTTTTTATTAACTATCCCATAATTTGCCTATACACATACCTCTAGGTTGCACTAGCACATATTTAGTGACACTGAAGGGCGGTGCTGAACACATATAGTGTCCGCTGTCACTTATCTGAAGCCCCAGGCGCTGCAGCTGGCTTGAGTTACTCGCACCACTCGGCTCTGTTGTGAACGGCCTGAAATATGTTTACACATTGTAAATATTTAAATAATACAGCACTTGGACAAGTTACATTAAATAACATTGCAATACAAATATCAACATATGGGCAAAATGACCATAGTTTTTTATTTTCATTTTTAACAAAGGTAAAGGTCAGTATGCAACCAGCCATAAAGTTGTAAATCTTGAAAATGAGTCATTTTAATATAATAGGATGGAAAGTAGAATGAATTTATTCCATTATGTACATATAATAAATAGTTATGTATAGTATTTAGTTACTAAGCAGTACCTTTCATTTACAGTGCCATTTCCAACATAATTCCATACATAGACCCTCGGTGTGGTATCACCTCGTAGTTCACATATCAGTGTCAAATTATCCAGCACCCTTTTCACCAGGATATCCGTGTACTCCAGGTCTCCAGGACTGTACAGCATCAGCGCTGGTGGCGGTGACAATGGTTCTGTCAAACCTGTAATAAATAAAAGAAACATACAGATGTTACTTTGATTTCTATGAAACAAACTATAAATCAGTATTAATAATGACATTGCGAAACTTAGTTTAAGTCCAGATTACCAGAAATATTGAATTTACAAACTTAAAATTAGTATGCAAAGAGAATATTGATTTTGGCAAATATTCAAACACAAGGCCTTCAAAGTTTCCAAGCTTTGAATGCACTTGTTATTGACAAATCAGTTTAATTTACATTACAATTGATTGTTTACTTAATTTATTGCATTACAATTCATTAAAATAAAACATAGACCAGAGGCGTTTTTTTCATAGAAATTAGCTTTATATGATTGAAACAAAGGTTACTTTTGCATATTTTTTCTTATCAAGAGCATATGGCCAGGAAAAATGATTAAATCTTGTTTCCATTGCATAAAGCTAAATTTTATTTGCAATAAGTCTGCCCGAACAGACCCTTAGAGGTGTTTCTGATTGACTGAATGACCTTTTTTTTTTCAATACATTGATTCACTGTATAAAAATATTCACATTGGTTGTAATGATCGGTGAGCCAATTAAACACATTGGGATAGGCCCACCCTTAGTATCAGTGATTACCATATTGTGCAACTCTAAATGACATTAGGAAAAATCCTTCCTTAGTATCAAGCGATCAACAAGTTGTGTATGAGGCTGCTTGCTTTTTAAAAGATCTTTCAGCCTAGATCAAAGAAATATTCCTCTATTTTAGAAATATTATGTATTGCAAAAGAATACACCCTGTATTTTTTCTGTTTGTAGACTTTGGGCCGTTACATTGCATCATTTATTATTCAATTGGCCAAAATATTGAGTATTTTGTATGCAAATATAGATAGTATTGTTTTAATTTCACTTGTTGTGAAGACCTTGATACTGTATTTCCTTGTTGCAACTTGTATTGTCAAAGAATGCATTTAACAAGTTTATTACACTTTCAGCCTCCAAGTAATTTTCCTACTTAAGACAAGTACAATTAAAACATTTGCTGTTGTTTTTATGTTCATCTAATCAAAGTTCATAATATACTTACACTGTAGAACCTCGATAACATAAAAACCTCTATAACTTAAAAAAAGAATATGTTTCCTTCCCATCAGAGCCCAAAACCTCTAACATAGATCCTTGATAACTTAAACCTCTACAACTTAAAGTATTTTGTGTTTCCCTTGGACTTTAACTTACCGAGATTCTATAGTACTAGCTTTTAACCGTGACTCTATGTGGAATTTAAAAAAGAGTGTAGCCTATGTGATCTACCAGACTATCTTCTATGTCTATGCAAAATTTCATCAAGATCCGTTCAGCAGTTTGGGCTACAAAGTCTAACATTCTAAACTTTTGCATTTATAATATTAATAAAATTATAAATGAGAAAGTTTTCATAGAAAGATGTAACTATGTCTTAATGAAATTTAGCTTATCTTTATCTAAAGAACACATAGTGTCCTGAGTTTTTTTATTAATTTCACATAGACATATTGCAGGTAAAAGCTAGGTATTGTTTACTCATTCTACTGCTAATAATTGTGAGAGTATATAAATAGAGTACTCACAGTTAATTTTTAATTTAACAATTAATAAGTTAGTTGAAGCAAACTATTTAAATTGCTTATGGGTTTTTGGTGCCAATATGGTACATGATTATAGATTTTACATATAACACAGAACATAAGTGTCTGATAAGAATTAAAATAACAACGAATTGTCTAATAATAGTTAAGCAAATTGTTGAAATAACCGAAAAAGTGACAAAGTTATTTTGCAAGTTTATAGTTTATATTGATAACTTAAACTTATTTTTTAGGGTTATAATACCGGTGAATGAAATAACTGTTGTTTTAAAAATATTTTTAAGGACAGTAGTACGAAAGTGAAAGGATATATAGGCAAACTATGCCGCCACCGTTATATATCATAACAAACCCATTAGAAATAACTGTAAACATACGAAACCTAACTGTATAAATCTAAAGGCCATTTGAGAACGACTAAAGTCAATGCATAACCCTACTGTAAATAAAATCAAGGTCTTTTGTAAGAATTACACAAAAAAAAAATGTAAAATTATATATTTATAACGAGGTTAGTTAGCTGCTTTGAGAGTAATAAACTCGTAACATTTCTAATACTTACATATCTGCGAGTTGATGAGAACAACAGCAAAACATAATAACACATTATTAACAAATCCAAACATTTTTATTTATTTTTCATTTTCATCAAACTGACGTTAAACAATCAACGCCATTTTTGTTTCCATGATTGACATACATTGACATCACAGTGACACGTTTCTCTTGACGCATTACCGCACTCTTTAATTTCAATATTTTAAGCGGAAAAGTTATCACAAAAACGATTTTAAAATACTGTTTATTTCATAAATTCGGTTCAAAATGAGTAAATCTTGTACTACTTTTAAAACGTATTATTCAAGAAATGAAATAAAAAGAAGTTAATCGCATATATAGCGCGTTGTTAATTCTTTTCCATTAGATGCGTCTGTTTTTAATCTGTGGTTGTTGTTAACTTTGACGTTTAAATTTAGGATTTTGACATTTTCTATGACTTAAAAATAAGAAAAAATCGGTGTATTTATTTCTCTATTACGGACTTTATTACATTAAGTAAATAAAATGGATTTGAATAGACTTCCCAATGATAAGAAACTGCAGTTGTGTAGATGGTATTTCAAAGGTAAAAATAGTTTGACACCAAACTTAGATAAGAAATTTTTTTAGACCTATTTCAATAGAAAATTATTGGTTTTACAGTTGGTTGCGTCTTTCTACCATTTGCGTGGGCTGTAAACGCTGTATGGTTCTTCAAAGAAGCGTTCGTAAAGCCACCTTTTGAGGAACAGAAGCAGATAAAAAAATGTAAGTTAATACAACATTTGATGATGTCAACTGTCTTTCGTTATTTGTTGGGGTTTTATACATTTTTGTAAGACAAAGTTTCTTAAGAATACATTAGTATCATAAGAAATGTATGTTACCATAGAATCTGAGCTTTGAAAGTATTATAATTACAGATGTGATAATGAGTGCAGCTGGAGCAGTGGTGTGGGCCTGCGCCCTTATAGCCTGGGTGACCATTTTCCAGATGAACAGAGTATCATGGGGAGCAACGGGAGATTTGCTTTCATTTATTGTGCCTCTTGGGCGACCTTAGTGTAATATAGGGCTTTTGTAAGTTGTGTAGTAACAATTTAGTGTGACCACTTGTGCCTACCTGAGTTTGAAATTATGATAAACAAGCTGTTATGTGTGACTTTGCGTGGAAAAATTGCTTATGTTGCTCATTGGTAGCAGTATAGTTTAATGGTGAAATAATTTTTTATGTCAGTCCAGTAATTTTTGACTTTTTTATACATACAAAAATATAAATATTTCCACTTTATTAGTTTAGATTAATATATTCTATACTACTGCACTATGTTTAGTTTGTATGATAGTGAATTTTGAATGAGTTTGTATTTAATATATTAAATAAGAACCTTTATGTATTGTTATGTAAGACTGGCTGTTCCAGTGCGACTTCATCCGCATGGAATTATGAAAATTTTATTTTATTGTTTACATTTGTCAAATTATCAATTACAAATGTCAAAATAACATGACATGATGACAACTTAGCTTCCTTGATGTTGCCAGCAACTTATGGTCTCTTTCCCACATTAAGGTTTTTATCCAAAATATTTACCTCTATGTTTAATAGCGTTAAAATATATAGCCTAAAGTGTGACGTAAGTGTAGGGCTTTTCATTAAAGAAAGAATTATTCAAAAACATGCTGTAATTGCTGACATCTTAGGCAAGAAAGCAGTGTGTGTTTGCCCTTTATTATAATAGTATAGATTTGGCAAAAAAATAAAGCTTGTTAAATAACTATTTAATATACTAATGCAATAAAATATTCATTCTCTAAATGATTCTCTATGATAATTATTTATCTGTATAGGTTTGATTTTCAGTAAAAATATTGTATACAAGTCATGGTAATATTTAACCAAATGTTGCCTGCTTAAGCTTAAATAAAATATATTTATTTTTTATCCAAAAGCCATGTTGTTTACATTCAATTTTGAATTAACCCTTAAATGCACGATTTTTTATAACCTTTTGAAAAAATGTTTAATCCAAGATCAATATAATAAAGAAAAAATAATAAAAAAATGTAGCATCTTGAATTACATTTTTTGTTGAATTTTGTATACAAAAAGGGTAAGCAATGCATCTGCAATTGCGGATGTCTATGGGCAGCGGTCGCTTCGCCATTTTAGCGTATTCAGGTGGCCTGTTGCTCGTTTGCCATCTTATGTTATAAAAAAAAATTGCGCATTTAAGGGTTAACATATGTATACATTCCAATTTTTAATTATTAAAAATCAAAAACACATGAAATTTTTTGTAATAAAAATCAAATTTATTTTATTTTGTTTTTCATTTGACAATTACCTGGTAGTTTATAACCTGAGAAAGTTGACAATTGCTAAGTTAAGAAACAGCGAAATCAGAACGCTCTTTTGCCACATTAAACTATACAACTGTGTACATAAAGTCTGAATTACTATAATCTACGGAAAAAAGACAAAAATCGTCTTGATACCTTGTCGAAATCGATTTAGATGTTGAAGAATTAAACTCACATGCATCTGTGTTGTCTGGACAGATTGCCTTGAACTCTTTAGTTGTAGCTTAACTAAATTAATGACGGCTCAACGCGACTTATGACAATGGGAGCCGACAAGCCGTGAACTGGACGGTACTTGAAACTCATGCAAATGTATGCAAGTATAAATTAAGCTGATTTGGGATTCTCGGTATTTTATCAATAGTGAGTTATTCATGTTTACACATGCATGACTTCACCAGCTCACTATTCCCACTGAGTGGCTCGGAGTCTAAGCCTAAGTTAGGGTGAGTAGGACATAGTCAACCACGCTGGCTCACTGCGGGTTGACTTCACACATATCTTTCAATTTCTTCGCCGATATATGCTGGTTGCATCACGATGTTTTCCTTCACCGTAAGAAGGTCGGATAAAAATGTCTTCGTGTCGTTAAAAATATTAGTTATAAATAGCTCAAGGATCTTAGTAAAACGTTTCATAAAGGAAAGGATACGGTTTGTTAAAAGGAAGAGGTTGATACCTCCGGTAACAATTGCCGGCTTTCTTTGGGCCGGATAAACGCCGGAGGGCGCATCCGACCGGGAAGCTAGCCCACAATGGAGTTTTATTGCTGACGGTGCCGGCGTTTTGCATTCGTATCCTGTACAACTAAAGTCAACACTTCCTCAGTGATACGTTAATTATTTTTAATCTGTACGATTTATATAATCTGTATTTAATGTTCTATGACGGGATAATTTTTTTTTTATAACAAAGAGCTCGCGACTTTCAGAAATGATTAATCGACGTTTATTGTATTTTTTAGTTATTAAACGCGAATTGAGGTTTAAAAATTTTATCACTGCGACATCTTGTTATTTTATATTAGGATGTTTATTAAACATTACCTGATTTCTTAATTTTTTTTTAATGAATTAACTAGGACATGACCACGTCTTGTTAAGTGATGACAAAATCGCAGTATACGATTATAATCCTCTCATTATTTCCTTGATACCTCATTATCTGTCTTATCCTGTTTATATTTTTACGTAGGAATGACTAGCTGTCTGATTCATAGGAAGCGACCGTCGGTCGACCTTGTGATATGCAATTAAAATGCAAACCAATCGCTATCGGAAATACTGAAATGGCACATCGCCATATCATATTTGTTTAGTGAAAGTTTTGAAGAACAGAATCTACGATATAGCTACCGCCCGATTTAATTACATATATTTTAAAATAATCACCTAATTATCATAAACGCGGACACATTTGACTAACCCTTCTTACAACTGTTTAGTCACGCTTTGATTCCTATGAAGGTGCGCACACTTCGCGATTTTTAGTTTTGCAAATAAACAACCAACCCGCAGTGGGCCAGCGTTATTGACTATGGCCTAGTCACCCTAACTTAGGGTAGGCTCCGAGCCCCTCGGTGGGGACACATAGTGAGCTGGTGATCATGAAATAAACAATTGAATTGGCTGAAGAACAATCGATTATCGCACAACAGATGTGCGATATTTTAGTCAAAGGTGTACGCTTGCTCTTACTGTCTTAAGTCTTATGAATTTAAGCACTTTGAGTGGATCCTAGATGTGGCAAAATAAATCGCTACAAAAAACCAATATCCGTGATAAATCCGACCAAACTGACCTTACTAAACAACCGATCTTGTTCAGACCACCCTAATGTTGACAATTTTTTCTTTAACGGTTAAAAAAATGACATCCATTGGCAATTAACTCGAAACGGGTCCCTTGTTTCCGGCCGAAATATTTTTTCTGGCAACACTCTAGCATTCCGTTTGAGCTCATTATGATAGCGTTAAAAGTAACATCTTCCATTAGTAGATAGAAAAAAGAAAACTAATGAACAGGATTGCTTTCAATTTCCATATTTCAAGCACTTGACTTACAAGCGACCTTTGCCCACCAAGCTTTTAAAAAAACACAGGGCAAAGACAATATATTTTTTTTTATCTAAGACTCTCTCTACTCATCTTTTATAGATAGCCGCATTTTAATAATTTAATGATTAGAAATCATGTTACAAAAAGATATTTTTAATCTTATAAAAGTAATAAAAGCAAAATTATTCTTTTAAAATAAAAACAATGAGAAGAAAGCAATACCTTAATCCCTATTTAAAACACAAAAGTGTTTTGTAAACAAATGTTAGTGTTTTAGTAATCAGTCCTGAAATTGCAGCAAAAATAATTAAAAACGACATAAGAGATACCATTAACATCAGCGTTAACTGTTAAGATTAAGCAATGATTAAGGCGAATGGCAGTTTTAAATTTGAGACCGCTTAAAAAAAAGAAGATGTAAAAAGTTCACGAGCGTCTGGAGACGTCAAACGCTGCCACGTGCACGCCGCGCGCCTCACGCTTGAAAAAGTGGTCAGGGGTATATAATTTTTGGCTATTTTGTAAAAGTAGACATTTTATATCCATAATTTAATCTACAGTTTATTCTAGCTTCTTTATTGATTATTATGCAAGGGCTCAGTTCCATTATATTTGGAAAATCTTAACGTAAGAATTCTTTATTTTATTCGTATAGAATAATATAAATTATTTGAATAAATGAAATACTGCAACGAATAGTTAATGGTATTGAAAAAATATTTAAAACCAAAATGTTGACGATATATGTGTTTTTTGCAATTGGCGGCAATCCCGTCAAAATTTGACAGCTAACCTTAACGGATGTAACTAATTTCTCATTCTGCCCTCAGAAAAATAAGCTGTTTAGCCGGTTCCGGCTTGACGCAAGACTTTATCCAGAAATAGGATCATTTTGAGGCCATTGTTGTACACATAAAGGCTTTTTCTTGTTGTCACATTTCTACCGTTTGCCGTCACTTCCGCTCAGTGACATTTGTTTTTTTTTCTTAAAGTACGTGCTTCGATGCGGGTAATTTTTTTCAGAAACTGAATTTATGCTTATGTTGTTTCTGTAAAATTATTTAACGTCGCATATAGCTGCGATATATATGAAATCTAAATAGATAGTAAATTAATACCTCAAATGAGGTAACTGGACAAACAGAAAGAATATAATTACTAAAAATAAAGGTAAAAGATTTGTAGATTCTTGAAACATAATTGAAAAATTTGTAAACGTTGAAACATTGTCTTGGCTGTACATTATTACAAGTATACAAAAGCTTCCTTCATCCGGACATCAATTAAGGGAAAAAAAATGTTTTATTATACATTTCCTTTGCATTATTGAAGACGAGTCAAGACCAAAGCGATATTGTAAAGGTGTTTACACACCACGTCCGGTACACAATGCGATGGCCGAAAAATTATTGACGACGGAGAAAAAAAACAGACTTTCCTGGATTAAAGTCACGTACATGTCCAGTGGGATCCAAACGCTTTTAAACATTTACCTGTTGTTTTATATTTATAGCCGTGAGACTTTAGTCTAGTTATGGGGTCTCACGTTTTTGGAATATTTTAGCTGGATCCAGGTAAGAAACTTAATTAAGCAACTTACGTTTTAGTACTGGCCATTTAGAATTTAAATTACTGCAACGTGTTTTTGTCTGCTTTGTTGGCTGCATTGTTGTGCTGAAAAAAAAAGATTAACCGTTGACCGAGACCCGTTAAAAAGTTCTGGAGACTTTTTTATCCATTCATCCATCCATCTAAACTGTCTCATTTAGTAAGAAATATGATTTAAAAGTACTGGGATCTCATACGAGTAGTAAGTCATAATGTCAACTACTGTTTTTTTTAAAAGGTACGCCTTTTATCTATTATGTTACAGGATGTCCGATCGATAATTATCGTTTTAATTACCTACTTCCTACAAATGAAACAAAACGATTACTTATCAGAGGTAGATAATAGTAATTGTTACTTGTGTGTGAATTTGTCTGCTGATTAAAGCAAATACTTTAAATAGAAAAATAACGATTAAAATATTGTTAAAAACGTCTTATCTTACTAAAATAAATGCGAAGTTTTAGATGGATGTATTTATGTTGGAGTTTGCCGCCTAAACGGTTGAACGAATCTCGATAGAATTTGGCACAGATGTAGAACATAGACTGGAAGAAAACACAGGCTACTTGTTTTTTTTTTTTAATTCCACGCGGCCGGCGGAAGCTAGTTATTTCAATAATTTATATGTTGTGGACTGGTTTTCAAAAAATAAATAAAGAGTTCAACTGTCACTTTTTTTTTCTTTATTTACAAGGACACAACTCTGCCGTAAATTCCAAGAATAGATACAATACAAATTAGTTACTTGACCAAAGTATTCTACAAAAGGATATAAAAAAGCCGGAAGGAGGAATAAAGAATCTGCCACAACAAAAGACTTTAATAGTATCTTCGCAGACGGACGGACGCCGACACAAGTTTATACCATAAACGTCCGGAAGTTGTCCGGAAGCGGCAAACAGACCCCGGCTAGTTAAATACGATAGGCGTAAAAGTGCGTTTTTACAACATCCCGTCTAATTGTTAGGTGGATGTAACTTTTGAATGCATTCTGGTCTCTATTACAAAGTTGTAAACGTCACGTATATCATAAAAAATACAAAAGCTCTCTCGTTACATTAACGAATTCATCTATACGCGTTCACTGAGAGGCTTTTAACCTATCCTAAGCCAGGGGTAATCAAGCCATCAAAAAGGAGGAATGTTAAGATGATGTGTGGGGTAACACGAATGGATAAGATACGAAATCAGTAATTATAGGAAGTTTAAGAGTAACCCCATTGGTAGAGGATGTAAAGAGTAAAATGATAGCATGGTATGGGCATGTTATGTGGAGGGATGAATCGCATGAAACAAGGAGAAAGTTAGTTATGAATGTGGTACCCCGGTAGAGGTAGACCTAGAAAGAAATTGATGGATTGCATGAAAGGTGACATGATGAAAAAGGGAGTGATGACTGAGATGACGTATGATAGAGTTATGTGGAGGGCAATAACCTGTTTCGCCGACCCTACGGAAGGAAGATAAGAAGGAAGATGATGATGATGAACCACGCTGTCTTACAACGGGCTGACTTCACACATATCTCTGAATGTTTTCGCAAATGTAGATTGCATCACCTTTTTTTCCTGCAACGTAAGAACGTCGGTTATATATGAAATTCAAAAATCGAAAACAAAGCGGAACATTGGATTCGACCCCAAAACGTGCAGTTCAAATGAATGAATGAATGATAATTATAAAACCGTTATATCTATATATTTAATTTTAGACCCTAAAGGATGGTTACCATATGTTTTTTTTCCTTTTTAGTGGCAAAGTTAACGCAGGTTATTTAAAACTTCTATAACTATTCTGTTTATTACGTACTCTATGATGTGAGGATAGTCATAAACAAAGAGTAGTCATTAATTTAATATTTTATGTCCAACGGATATTGATAGTGGTCTGTCGACGTTACAGCAGTGTTAAGTTACAATTTTATGTTTCCGTGCAATTATAGCATGGGTTAATGATAGACTTAAGGACTGAGGGTACAGATTATATTAATAAATAGCAAGACTTTTCATGTAATAAATATCACGTCAATAAAAGTTTTATTGGTAACTGTTTCGATTAAATTCTAAAAAGATATGAGTAAATAACAAACACAATTAAAAAGAAATATGTAAGATCGTCAGTTTTAATGTGCAATAAATCACTTAAATATCACTAAAGTGACATTAAAAAAAGTAAATTAGGCTGTGACATAGAAAGGGCCGTCTGCTATTTCCTAAAATACATTCGCGCGGAAAACTGAAATAGCGCCGGATATGTATGTTCCTAATTGCCGCGCCATTCAAAATAACACGATCAATATTTAAAGGAAATCTCATATTAAATTACCAACTTTATCAGCATAGTTTAAGGTATATATTAAATTGAAACATCAGTGCACTTACGTCGTTCTATTTACGCGAACTTATACGGAAACGATTAGTTTCAGAACCACATGCTGACAGACAGGATGCGAGAAATTCATTATCGATTCTTAAAAACATCATCTTCTGTCTCGCTTCCACATATACACAATATAATTCGTGTGAAAGAGAGATGTAGATTATCCGTTTCGCCCGCATCCGACGACATTGCCGTTTGTTGCTTGCAAATCTCGTTGGAAGGGTGTAAATATCGAGTTTTGGAAGTAAAAATGAACCTTATTACATTTGCATAAGCCTAGTTATTATTTGACATGAATAACATGCTTTTTGATTCATGGAGTCTCTTTGAAAGTCATGTTTCATTCATTTTCATTTCGTTCATCATTCACTCGACGTCGGCGTCGTAGAGCGGTCGATTCATAGGTTGCAGTTGGAGCAAAATTATTCGCAGTAAAGTTTTACATCGTAAATTATAAATTGTGTAATTATTTGTATCGTGTACTAGTGCCCTTTCTGTGGGAATCTGGATTGTACGAAGACACTTTGAGGATTTTAATGGTACGTTTATACGAATGTTTTGGTTGCAAATGTTTTTTAATTAATAATATTTTATCGTTAAAATTTATCAGGTAGTAAAGCGATACCTTCAATTTACAATTTAAAGATTGCTAAATAATATGTTAACTGTTGTTTAAAATTAAGAAAAAAAAACTTGTTTCGCTTAATTTTTATTGTAGTAATTAGATGGTGTTTGGAAAGCCTAAAAAATTACACCTATATATTTAATTATTTACTCTGATACTAAAATTTATTTTAAATGTTAATATTGAATTTACTAGTTTTTAAACAACTATAACTTTAATTGAATTAATTCACAGAGTAATATTTTATTTTTTGTAAAATTGGTAGAAAAAAAAATTTTGATACTAAAATTTACAATTAATCTTTTTAGAAATATAAAATTAAATTAGATAGTCTAGTGTCATACTTACAATAGTAACGTAATTTATAGGTAGTGATGATTTTCTTAAGTAATTAAAAAGTCATTATAACGTAACAGTAATAATTACCGTAAAAATAGTGTTGTTACTACTACGGTAACAACACTATTTCACTGTCCGACATTTGAATAGGATACAGATAAAAGCTGATGATATATGTAGCAATATTTCAACAGGTTCAAAAAACGACTACAAAACAGTTATTTATCCGAATTGTTGTCTTGCAATGTGAAAATAACAAAGGAAATTGCGATCGCAAGTCTTTTGTGAGGCTGTGGTTAGGGTAATTACCGTCATTGTATGCGGCGCCCGCTTCCCGCCATAGCACTGACAACGTCTTTCCCGCGCTTTCTCGCATCCGTTGACGTCCGCGTCACAATGGCGGGAAGAGACTCATTTCATTTATTGGTCACGAATAATTTTGTACGACCATATACGTCACCTCATATGGTTTTTATTTTTTTTTATATTATATCACTAGCTGTTGCCCGCGACCTTGTCCGTGCTGTATTAAAAAAAATACGAACTACGAAAAAGAAAAAACTACATATCGCTCCGAAACATAACATTTTTCGGGATGAACAAAAATTAAAAAAAAAAAAAACAGTTATCTGTCCTTTATAATTACCATTTCAAAGAACATAAATTATGTGTGTCTCGTCGAGTTATTTAAATATAAGTAAATAACTATTATAGTAAAAAACGAATATGTTCAAATTGTAGCTATTCCTCGATTCGCAATTTCCTCTCTAGTTTATCTAGTCTATGTGTTTTCCTAAGTCATAAATTAACCGCCTTCAGTTCGCTTCCAGACGTTAGTAATTAACATCCGCCGCGCTTTAAAATATCCGACATTCCCTATTTAATTAAACAATGAGGCATTTAAAGATGTTCAAGAGTCAATAATGGCGTATAATAAAAAACCGACAATGTGTTCCTTTTTTGAATAGGGCGGAAGTGTCGATTTCGATTATGGTACGTCCGTCCGTTTGGCGGGAAGATGGTACGCGTGCTTCCGCTCAAATGATCAACTGTCATTTCAGCTAAAAAATTACTCCGGTTTTGTAACAGATTAACTTTTTTGATTTCCTTAATCAATTAATATTGATGATTAATAACTATACAGTTTTTAAAGGTTAGATAACTGCTTTGGATATATTAGGGCATACACATTTTTCTTGGAAGTTTTCATAAAAATTACCCAAATAAAATTCTAATTAGAAAACTTAATGACGTAGTAATTCTTTGGTTTCAAATAATGGTAGTATTGACAGCAGTTTTAAATTCAAGATTTTGTTATTTTAGTTATTATATATACTATTCAAATCACTTTATTCCAGTTGTAGTTTAGATTTGAATCCTCGTAACTTCGGTTGAAAACGAGCCGCTACAAACAATAACAAAACTAGTATTACATAATCTCAGTAACAACTACGGTCACACAATAACCTTCCGTACAATGAATGAAGCGCAGACGGAAATCCGTCGCAACAAATATCGGGAAATGAACACGAATGAAAAAAAAAATATTGAATAGTGTAGCTTACATTTGCCCGCGGAAACCGATCGTTTATTCAAAATCCGCCATTATGCGCGCGACGGAAACCGGATGTGGGTCACGCGTCCGTACTAATGACGGATTAAAAATGGCGCCTGGGGCTATTATGTAATTATTTGGGAGGATGTTTTCTTTCCGTAGTTATAGTAATAAATTGAAAATAACATAAAAGAGTCGTATGTGATGCATACATATTAAATTATACATAAGAATGTACTGGGGTACAGTTCTCTCGAGTTAATCTTCTTTATATAGCTGGCACCTGCAATTGTGTAATCAAGCCGTTTAAATCAGTCTTTTTTTGTTTGCAGACGTACCCCCCACACTGTGTAAGCAACATGCCGACACAAATCCGTTGCGATCGCGTGCCCCCTGCGGACGGCAGCTGGGGCGCACTCGACCTTAGACTGTTGCAAGAAGACGACTTACCTTTGGGTACGTTTAATATCTTAATATTATTTACTACAATTAATGGTTGCAAATTTTAATTCCGGAAATGTAAGACCTCAAAGTATATGACTAATATAATCTTCTATCCGTTAGATCCCCGCACATGGGGCCGTGCGGAGGTCGGTGCGTGGGTATCGGCGCGGGGCGGGCTACCCGAGCGCTTCCCTATGAATGGCAAGGCGCTCTGTCTCATGTCACGAGACATGTTTGCTAGTAGAGTGCCGCGCACCGGACATCAGCTACACCAGGTACTTGAAACTTTTACTTTTTATGTTCATACAAAATTGTTTAAAAGTGCATCTTTAAACACATTGTGTGTTTTATTAATCATTTATTTTTACTTCAGGACTTCAGAAGAAGATTAGCCAAAGCGTTAGCACTACAGGAATTCATTGAGAAGATGTCAGCTAAATGAAAGACCAAAAGGATTTATACTTATTAATATTTGTTAAAGTATAAAGAGTGAGGAACGCTATTTAATAAGACAGAAGAGTTCAGAGAAAATGTAATACTATTATTGTAGTTAAATTGTTACTATAGTCGTCTAAATATTCTTTAGGGGCGTGTTCCCAGGCGAGGCGTTACCGCAAATTATTTGTAGCAGATCAAATAAATAATATTTGTACACTTACTTATGTTCCTATTAACAATTTTGTAATTTTATTAATACATCATTTTTTGTTTACGTGAAAAGACATTAGTTTATAGTGAGATTAAAATTTGATAACCAAATGTAGATTTATCTTTTAATAATAATTAGAATAAAATAATGCAAAACGTGAATTAATTAAACCATTGTTAAGTGTCAATAGTATGGTTGTTTAATGTTTTAGGCGCCATATTGACAATCGAAAATGTAAATATTTATTTAATCTGTAGTCTTTACTCACGCGTTTAAAAAAATATTGTAAAACAGTTTTGTTCATCGAAGACGTTTATTTTCATCGCCTTTTTATAGATTCATTTTACCTTTCTGTTAAAAGTTTAAATGGCTATTTTAAACACTACGTTGTTAAATATTTCGTGTAGTTAACAATATAAGCATCTGTGTCAGTATTATTACCGTTTTGTGTATATTAGTTTTATTTGTATTACTTAGTTTTAACTGTCCATATAGTTTGCAAAGAAACTAAATGTTAGATACGCAAATGTTCTAATGTCTAGTCAGGACAGGGTGTAAATAAATAAGTGAATTTATATTGGTATTTTTATTTTATCAATCGTCGCCTATTGGTCGAAATTAGTTCACAATTCACGAAGTTTTTAATGTGTGATTGTAACAGTTTTGTATACTTCTATACAATACAAAAAATGTAGTTCCATAACAAGGACTATTTTTGTTGAGAGTTGAGTTATTTTAAATCTATTCTAATAATTATTTATTTATAATTGAAAATCACTTTTAGCATAGTAAAAGTATTTGCGTAGCCAGGAGTGGGGAAAGACGCGGAGAAACTTTTCTGTCGCAAAAAAACTATTACATCAATGTAGCTAGATCTAGCCTAGACCATCGGTAATGCCATAATAATGCAGTATAATAAGTTGCTAAACGATCGTCATAGTTGGGTAATCAAACAAATACATCTTTTTAATGTTTATTGTCATTCGTGTTCCGGCGGCCAGGCGAGGTGCACGGCTGTGACGTCAAGAGCCAGCAGGTCCGCGCGTGCCCCCAGTATGTGCGCGAGTGAGGGCCGCGTGCGCCCCAACTCGCCGTGCACCCACTCCTTTACGTACGTGCCTGCTGACGTGCGCACGTGGAGCAGCAACAGCTGCGGGTAGCCTGAGAATTTAACATTTATTGCTATTACAAGCTGTTGAGAGACAAAGTCTTATCAAAGTCTTCCGCGAGACAAAAAAAAAAACATGTTACTCAGTAATAATATAGCTTTTTAAATTATTATTCCCAACCGTCATCCCTCTGTCCCCGCGTGAGAATATAAAGTTTCATCCGTCCCAACATTGTCCCACTATCAGTAATAGGGTGACAAATGGAATCATTATTAAATAAAAGTTCCAAATGTCCCCCACAAAAGGTGACAGGCATGATTTTTATTGTCATCTGTCTCTGCGTGGGGACAGAGCGGGGTGACGGTTGGGAATAATCCCCTTTTAATGGTGTAAGAATTTTTTAAATTAGCCCAGTAGTTTTTGAGTTATTCCAATACATACAAAAATACAAATCTTTCCTTTTTATAACATTATAGTATAGATTTTTCCTATTCCATTATTCGTAAACTCCATACGTCCCTAATCACGGGCTTTATATATTTTTTGATTTCGCAAATACGTTTAGAACACATCACGATTTTTAATTTTTATTTAAATACCAATATAAATTCGTGTATTTTTGAAAAGAAGCAAAGAATAATGATTAGCACCAATAGCCTAATGGTTAAGGGTACGGATTTCCGGTCACTTGGTCGAGGGTTCGAATTCCGCCGGCCTTTGAGAAAATGGTAAACTCGCTCTGAGGAGTAAATATTCTTCCTTCTAGGTTATGGTCATGTTAAGTGACGTCACTCCCAGGGCATTAGGAGCTGAAATTTCCACTGAAATATTACCTGATATTTTACTAGCGTGTACTTCAATAATATGCCGCGTCCTGTCGAGCAGCGGGCGGCGGTGCAGCACGCGTATGGGGGTAGACTGAGATATCTCTACGCGCGCCTCCCCGCTCTCCGTGTTGCGGTACGAGTTGATACGTTCTAAATCTACATCCGTTACAGCCACTGGTGTATTTGTATCTATCTATAAGTGATTAATTAAAAGACAAAAAAAAGTGAAAAAAAAATAAAAAATCTTATATTTTTTTTATGAAAATTAATAAAATACTTTTTCATCTGAAAATGTACAATTACATACTCCATTTCTTCCGTGATTTCGCCCGCGTGGGGTTGAAAAAAACAAACCTATGTTCTTCCAGAGAATTCTTTACATTTATGCCACAAAATTTTAAAAAACATCTATCCATCTCAACTTTCTCATCTTACTAATATTATAAATGCGAAAGTTTAGATGGATGGATGTTTGTTAGAGTTTGTAGCCTCAACGACTGAACGGATCTCGATGAAATTTGGCAGAGATGTAGAGGATAGTCTTTAAGAACACATAGGCTACTTGCTTTTATTTTTTTATTCCGCGCGGACGGAGTCGCGGGCAAAAGCTAGTTTATAATATTAGTAAGTATGATGGATAATGTAAGTTCGAATACAATTCGGATAGTTTTAATATTTTTTTTACATACAAAAAAAATACAATATAGTTACATACCTGATCAAATTCAGAATGCGATAATTTTATACATATAGCTTCATAAGTTTTGGTTTTAGTTTCCTCGCCTTTCTTTAATAAAACCAAATCATCTCTACAAGGAAATAAATTTAAAAAAAAAATTCAAACATTACTTATACAATCTTAAACCACTTTTCCACTAAGCGATTAGCCGCACGCCCGTCTGTCACAAATCCCTGCGACTGGTGTAATTCGTGAGGCTAACTGCTTAGTGTAAACAGGGTGTATTTGGAATTACTTACTTAACAATAGGCAGTAATGTTTTGACAATAACTTCACCTCCACTTGATATCAATTTGCAAGCCTTCTCTAGTTCTTCAGTCGTTAACTGCCTTTGTGGGTCTGTAATCTAAACAGATAAACTTCTAATATAATAAACCGTGAACACACTTTGTTATGTAGAAATAATCATACAATGTTTTTAATAAAAAAACCCTACACTAAGGACATATAATAAGATATTTTTTGACGCTAATAAACATAGAGTTTCATCGGGGAAAAAAATACCTTGCCAGATATGCTTAAAAACTACAAGCGAATAGCAAATAAACAAGGTTGCTGGTTACTTTATAAAATTATTTTAAAAATGTTGACATCTATAAAATTCGAATGCTGGCTGCATTCGAATTTTATAGATGTCAACATTTCCAAACGAAAGTATTATATTCTGGTAACAAAATAAAGTTTTTATAATATGCTATGAAGCCGCAAAGGAAAATCTTGCACATATTACAAGAAAAACGAATAGAAAGGATAAATTCTTTATAGAAATATTTGCTATAAAAGCTACAAAAGGTAAAGCAGTAATTAAAAAAGATATATAATTTTTACCTCAATAGCAAAGGGTCGTCCCTGTCCGAGACAACGGACGTCGACGTCCTCACGGCCCGCCGCTATCAACTTCAGTCGTCGCTCCGCCTCCGCCTCTGACATACTGAAAAAAAAACACAATTAAAACCTATATCCACTAAACTAACCGCGCAACTATCATTTAAAAAAAAGAAACGAGGAATCGTCTATTACAGTTTGTCTAAATAAATTAGATTAGTTTGATAAATGACGCATATGAAGTATCGAATTCAATTTGTATGAAGAAAAGTGTCATACTTAATAGACAGGTATCGTAGTGACGCAACAAACACACTTAGTGAATAATTTTGAACTATCGATATTCGGTTTAAATAATTATCAAACTCAATGAAAATTATTTTTTGAGGACAATTCTAGTATTGATTATAGTGTAGAGAATTTAGCGATGACAGAAATAATAGCAAAATCTAATTTCATTATGTACGGCTGTAGTAGTAATAAACATTTATTTACCCTCATATTTGTTATGGTCATTATTAATCTGAGAAAACAGTATTTTTTATTTCATAAGTTATAACTATAAATCTATCGAATCTACCTTCTATAAAAATAGAAAATCGAAAATCGATAAGATTCTTGACTGATTTCACACAACCCATCCCTACTAAATTTGTACTGAATGGGGATGTTTCCTAATTTTTGGAATTGCTTTTATTATGTAGATAAACCGTATCTAAACATGAAAAAAAATATAATAAAATCATATACGCAACATTTCATTACAAAAACACTTAACTAAAAACAACTTCTCCAAAGACCGCGAAAACGCCTCATGACGTCACTTTCTTGCTTACAAACAATATTTAATTTGAGACAAACATTCAAGGTCTCTAAATGTTATTATAGGTTATAAAATGCTGTCTTTAAAATATTAAATATAACTTTATTTGGATTTGTAACATTAGGAAACATCCCCATTGTAAAACTAATCTAAATTATTTAGACAAACTATAGTTGATTCGACAACCGCAATGCTAGTGAAACAAATGCGTTGCCAGGTTAACGAGCATGTTCTTTTCTAAAGGTCCAAGTCACTGTTTTTAAATATTCCACAATACGGCTGCGAAATAAAAAATTACGCGAAGACTTTGACGAAAATTACTATGATAGGCGACCTAACTCGAGAATGGTGCATAAATTGTTTATAGAATGAAAGTCACGCGACCGGAGTTGTGCGTTAAAGCGCCAGTGGAAAAAGGGTCTTAATCTTAACTAATAGAAAGGGTACAGTGAAAGGGATGTACTTAACAGTACATTTTTAAATTAACTTTTAATGATTGTCAATTAAATTTATATACTAGCTGTTTCTCGAAACTTCTGCGTGAAAAACAACATAACCTATATTACTCACTGCTAACGTAACTTTTTTATGTGAATGTTTTTTTAAAGCGGCTCCGAAGGTTTTGAGTCATTCCATACATACAAAAATACAAATCATTCCTCTTTACATATTAGTATAGTAGTGATTTTAATTATATCTTACCAATATAAATCAGCAATAGGCTGAAATATTATCTCCTGGACAGACGAAGGCATCACTCTCCGTCCAGACAATATCCACGGAGTCTGCGGTAAGTCCCGACTTAGTTTTATATATCTGTATAAATATACAACAAAAATACATAATACACAAACTTAAAGACCAGTGAGTTGGCACGCCAGCATCAGGACTACTCGTATAAACCGTGTGCCAACTTCAATTAAACATGTTGTTTACCTATGTACAGTTTTAACTAAACACAAGCAATGTTTATGTACTTTAGCAACGTTAAGATAAATTAATTTATTTAGTAAAATAACTTACCTTCCTCCGAGATACAAAGGCGAGTGTGTACAAACAACACTAACACATTTAGCGGCTGTCTCAACGGCCGCCATACAGCAACTATCGCTGGCCGCTTTAAGCGCTTCAACTGTAACGTTCTCCAGCGCTTGCTCTACAACGCGTCTAGTGAACTCAGTCGCAAAGCGCTTGTGTTGCTTACGGCGCGATTCGAATAATGGCGCCGCTATTTTTTTTATTATCTCTAATTCCTAAAAGATTTGTTTCATGCATCATTTTTTTTTATTACAGACTAGCGACTCGCGACTTTTTCTGCGTGAAAATATTAAAAATAGCCTATGTTACGCACAGATAAATTATATTTCTAATGGTAAAAGACGTTTTAAAATTGGCCCAGTAGTTTTTGAGTTATTTCATACAAAAATACAAATCTTTCCTCTTTATAATATTATTATAGATAAGGATCAATTATTATGTTAGTATAGCATACTAATATTATAAATGTGAAAGTTTAGATGGATGGACGTTTGTTAGAGTTTGTATCCTAAACGGCAGAATGGATTTCGATGAAATTTGGTACGCGCGGATGGAGTCGCGGGCGAAAGCTAGTTAATTATAAATTTCATCTAACTAGAGAGAAAGTTTGGACGGATGGATGTTTGTTAGAGTTTGTAGCCTAAACGGCTGAAGGGATTTCGATGAAATTTGGTACAGATGTAGAGGATAGTCTGGAAGAACACATAGGCTGCTCACTATTGTTTTTTTTAATACTATAAAAGCTAATAAAGCTAGTATAATTATAATTTAATTATAGCACATAATGATGTTCTATAAGCGATTTACTATATCTTTTTCTCAACTAGTTTTATAATTTACCTGCAAATCATCCAAATAGTCATAGTTAAATGTAATTAAAAGTGGCGCCACAGCTCCTGAGTCCAATTTCTTGTCAATGACTGTCGCCAGTTTAGTACCGAAAGACCATTTCCACGCTTCTTTTAAAGGTGTCACAATATCTAAAACAAACTTACTAGTATTATAAATGCGAATGTTTAAACACATTTAAAAAAATTACATTAGGTACTTATACTCAGGGAGTCATGTGATATACATAGGGCAAATGTCAAATCCTTTGATGTAGCCCACGAACGTAGTTGCAGGTTAAAGTTTGACCTTCAACATGTCAAAGATTGCCCATACTTGATGTAGAGGATCAGTGGCAGTAAAAATTAAAACATAAAATATATAGCTGTTGTGCGTTTGTCATATTAAAAAAGAAATATAGTCTATGTTACTAAGTGTTAAACATCCCAGTAGTTTTTGAGTTATTCACATACAAAAATCATCATCATCCACTTGCCCTTATCCCTTATGGAGGGTCGGCACAGTATGTGCTGCTCTTCCATACATCTCTATCAGCCGTCATATCTGAATCCACTCCTTTCTTAAGCATATCTTCCTTCACACAATCCATCCATACTTTCTTCGGTCTTCCTCTTCCTTTGTAGCCATCCACATTCAATCTCAACACTTTCTGGTTTATGTCCCCATCATTTCGTCGCATAATATGTCCATACCACGCTAACCTTTTGCTTCTCAATTTCTCCACCACTGGCGCTACTTTCAAACTTCCTCTAATGTACACATTCTTAACTTTATCCAATCTTGTCACACCACACATCCATCTTAACATACGCATCTCAGCCACATGCAATCTCCTTTCATCCGCAACTTTGGTGGCCCAGCATTCAGATCCATACAACACGACAGGTCTTATGATGGACTTGTAGATCTGTCCCTTAAGCCTAAGAGGCATTCTTGGATCACAAGTCACACCAGTAACCTGTCGCCATTTCATCCAACCTGCATTTATTCGGCTTTTTACGTCTCGGTCAACGCCACCGTCGGACTGGACTAGAGAACCGAATTCACATACAAAAATCATTCCTCTTTATAATATCAATTATTTAAAAGAATAATAAAAAAAATGTTAAGAAATAAGGTAAAAATAAAGTTTACAATTTGTTTATATTTACTTACTGACATCATAATCTGGTATTTCATTATTGAGTTGCAAAGCCATAGCCCTTTCTCGGAGTATAGTCACAATTGGTGAAGACAATGCACATGCAAATGTGTTACTGAGATATCTGTAAATAACAGCATAATATTATTATCTTACTAATATTATAAATGCAAAAGTTTAGATGGATGGATGTTTGTTAGAGTTTGTAGCCTAAACGGCTGAACCAATTTCGTTGCAATTGGGCATAGATGTAGAGGATAGTCTGAAAGAACATATAGGCTACTCACTTTATTTTTTTTTTAATTCCACGCGGATGGAGTCGCGGGCGAGGGCTAGTAATATTATAAATGCGAAAGTTTAGATGGATGAATTGAAATTTGTTGGTTCCTATGTAAACTATTGTAAATCACGATTTTGGGATTTACACCTTGTTTTGTTTTATATTTTTAAATTAACTTTATAAATACTAATTTCTGCATAAAACTAAAAGTAATATTAGACAGAGCTATAGATTTTAGTGTTCTACAGTATAACAATTTTTGATGCACAAAATTCATTTCACAAATATTTAAACTTTAGTCTAGTAAAATTTGCATTAATTACATCTAACAGTTTACATAGGAGCCATTGAATTGTTCCCTATCCTTTTTGCTTCACTTCTTAAGAATTACTTACTTTTTTTTCTCCAGAACCTCCTTTACCATGCTAAAACTTTCATCCCATGTTTCCTCCTGTAGGATACCGAGACATGTTACACATACAGATAGCTTTAATTTCTTAATTGGAGGTTCAATATCACAGTTCGTAATATCTTTGTTATTGTCATCTGGAGGTTTTTCATTTTCTGAACTTACTACTTTTTCATCCTTGTACTGAAAATTAAAACAAAGATTTTTAATACGTAAAATAATCTTAGAGATCTTATAATATGATACTAATATTATAAATGCGAAAGTTTAGATGGATGGATGTTTCATTCATGATTCATGATTCATGACATTCAATGATTCATATATTCCTGTAATTATTACACACTTGTAATAGTTTTAGGCAGTCACATGAGTAAGGTTTTAAATAAAAGCACTTTGATGTTTTCTCACCTTTTGAGCAGACTTTTTTATATCTTCATAAACCGTTGAGCTTTTCAGTCCTAAATATCTTAAACTGCAGGAGTCACAGCATCCTGCTTGTTTACAAAAGTTAAAAATTTTCTTATCATCCATTACTAATTCAAAAACTACAATGTTTATTTAACATAACCAACAAAACACCGCAAGGTTTGTTTATTAAATGAAATGACAATGACAAGATGACATTGACTTATGACTTTTGAGTCGACCACTATTTTCACAACAAAACTACAATTGTGAATTTTGAAAATTCTTAAATAGATAAAGAAGATAATAGCCTACATTTTTTCTGTAATTGTTTTTTTATTTCTTTCATATTTACCACTAGTATTTTATATATTGTATTGTCTTTCGAGCAATTTTATAAGTTTTGTGAATCCATCTGTAAATTGCTTAAAATAGTGAAACGGAATTGCAGAAGATTGCTAGTTTTAAATAATATCGATCAGCTGATAAAGAATAAAAGAACTAACTTTTAAAGTAAACTATTATGTATACGATGACTTAATTCAAGTTCGAGAACATAATATGTTAACATGATAATAAAAAATATTATAGGACTAAGATGGGTTTTAATTTTTTTATCGCTTACTGACAAATGATAGCCTTCTGTCAAAATTGTGTTTTTATGTAATTCAAAACAACATACATTTCCATTCAAAATTATCAATAAAAAGTATCTCTGGCACCATACACTAAATCTTAAATAATGGGAACTGTTCACGCTAAGGTATTTGTTATTAGATTTCCAATATTTATAACATCAATTCTGAAATACTTCATAAGATAAGGTTAGAAACATTATTAAGTTAGTTCTCAATTTTATAACTTTACACAACTAAACATTTCTTGTAAGTAGATTAATAAATTCTAATTAAATAATCTCTTTTTCGTTTCTACTTATAAAAGTTAGTTCAAGTTGAATATTTAATTTTATGTCATAGTTTTTATTAGATTAATTTAAAAGTGGATATATGTTAACTTTACTCTATATACATGTGTTTTAAAACAATAATTTCAATACATTTAATTTCCAGTCTAGGCCAAGTGAAGCCTTTGGCGAAGTGGGAACAGAGCTTCTAGGTCTGGAAGATCCAATTGATTTTGAAGATGAGGCTGTCTCTAAACCTAGTATACAACTAAATGGAGTTAGGGTAAGATTATGTATAAGCAAATATAGACAGGTCTAGATGTATAAATATTTAAGATTAGCTAGCAACTTTGTCAGTGCAGATTAAAAAAAGTAAGTAGCCTATGTATTCTTTCAGACTATATGTCTATACCAAATTTCAATGGCATCCCTTCAGCAGGCTATAAAATCTTACAAACATCCAACCATCCATCTAAACTTTTACATTTATAATATTAGTATAAAAAGCTCACTTCATAGTAAAAAGTCTTTTCATCAAGTTTAGGATCTAAGCCTATGGTTTAGGCATAAATTTACATAATATTTTTTCAGGCTCGTGTAGATAGAGTGCATGTTGACGGTCTCAGTAGAACCAAAGATGATATAGTGCGGAGTGCAGTTGATGATCTGTTCCATGCCACCGATTTTGAAGATGTCATATTACGAGCACATAAAGTAAGTTGTGTTTGAGGTTATACTGACTAGAAAAAAAAAACCATATTGTAGAAAGTAGGCATCTAATTTCTTTACACCTATAAATATTTTTTGAATGTGTGAAATACACCCATTGTTATCTAAACTCATCATCAACTTCCCCCTATCTCTTACGGAGGCTCGGACCAGTATCTGCTGCTCTCCTATACATCTCTATCAGCCCTTATATCAGAATCCACTCCTTAAGCATATCCTCTTTCACACAATTCATCTATACTTTCTTCGGCCTTCCTCTTCCTTTGTAGCCATCCACATTAATTGTTAACACTTTCTGCTTTATGTCACCATCGTCTTGTCACATAACATGTCCATACCACGCTATCCATTGTTATCTATACTAAAGTAATACAATATATTTATTCTTCTTCTTCTTCTTAAAGTGCCTCTCCGACTAGCGAAGGTTGGCGGTCAGTTCTCCAAATTTGACCTTGTCTCTTGCGAGGCGAAACAGTTATATATCTATAACATCGTTGAATTTAGGTATGCAAAACTGTCATGCGAGAAAAGGACAAAAACCATAAGCCAATAGCATCAAAGAAGCAAGATTGCAATGGTTACATTAGCCAATGGCAAATTCGTGTACTCAAGTGTTTGAATTTTGACAGTTGAACCTGTAAACAATAAAATACAGCTTTTTTACAGTTAAAGCATGGGAAAAGTTTTCAATAAGTTTGAGATTTTCAGGTACGTAAAGCTCTGGACGCCACGGGCTGCTTCCGTGAGATTGGAGTCTACATTGACGTCTCATCAGGTCCAGGCGCCACTCCTGAAGGACTTGAGGTATTTAACTAACATTATACAATTTGAAATATAAAAACATAGAGATATATCCACTTTCTGTGTGTTTGTCTATCAATAATTTTGGTGAATTCCGGTGGCTGCTTGCTTGTTTGACACTTAATGATATAGAAGTTGTGTTTTATTTTTTTTTTTTATGTTACTACAATAAAATACCTTTGAGAATCTATCTGATACTAATATTATTAAGTGGAAATATTTGTATTTTTGTATGTATTATAATAACTCAAATACTAGTGGACCAATTTTATAAATTCTTGTCCCATTAAAAAGCTAAGTCATCAGTAACGGGATACATATTTTGTTCTTTTTTAATTCGAAGCAACGAAGTCGCGACAAACAGCTAGTGGTAACTAAAATTGATTTTCAGGTGACTTTCAATGTAAAAGAATTGTCGCGTATTGTAGGCGGTATTAATACGACGGTCAGCGAGAATGAAGGAAACTTGGTTATTGGTAAGTATTGTTGCATTGTAATTGTGGTTTTATATGTGTGTTACCCAGCTCTTATGGTGTAGGAAAACATTGTGATGTCTGCACATACCAGCGAAATAATTTAAAGATATGGTTGGTGATGGCACAGACACATATGGACATAGCTAGAAGGGGCATTCACAGGCATTTCCCTACCTTAAAAATACCAAAAACTATTCTAAATTATTCTTGAGTTATCTGTTCATATTTTAAGAGAATCAAATTGTAGCCTTAGATATCTAAACTTTTCTAAACATATATTTTGTAACATTTGACAGGGAATCTCCTTTTTAGTCTGCCATTGGTCCGTGCTTCGAGGGCAAATCAATTAAGATATATTTCCTGTGTCTACCTTTATAAAATGCTGCTCTACCTAACTACAGACTTGCTAACTTACGATAGGCTTCGAGCCCCTATAAATGGGACTATAGGGCGACAATTTAGTTCACTTTGGGTACAGGGTCATATAGGGTACAGTTAATACATAGTGCAGTGTGCTAGGTGTAAAGATGCCTAACGTGGCGGGTAGGGGGGAACGCGTGCAGGCGGAGTACAGCCTGGGACATCGCAGTACATCCAACTTCAGTGTTACCACAGCGAAACCCTTCCCGCGCAGTCAGCTTACACCTGTGTAAGTAATATATTAGATTATTTTGATGTCTTAATGAGAATTTATCCTATATCTCTTTCAGATTGTACTGTTGAGAATCATTGCATACATTCTGTACAGTCAGGGCATTTCGCGGTGTTCCATTTACAGAAATGTTTTGTTCCTTTTAACGACGAACTTTTAATACATAACTAATTAGGTAGTAATGAGTTTGACATCGACAAGATAATAAAAAGCAAATAGTCGTGTACTACCTGATCATTATTGACATGATAAAACCTGCATCCTATTAGTTATTGTTCCTTGTTTGTTAAGGCGTACAAAACGTTAAAATCATTGTAGATTTATAGATGGAATACCACTAAATTCCCCGATAGTACTTACAATACGTATGCAATAGCTTAATTTGTGTAATTGTGCAGTGTGTCAGCGTCGGTGTACCAGCAGAACCACGAGTACCCGTGGTCCGGCTACCGGCTGCTGGACCGCGGTCTGCTGCTCGACCTCGCATTCAACACCTCGCCCTCGGTGAGCTATACTAAAATCGGATTTAGTAAATGCCATCTTAAAGGTTGTTCACAAAATGGAGTCGTCTCACAAAATAAAAAATAAAATTCTGAAACGTCTTTACTACATTAAATATTTTGCATATAAATATTGCTTACTATCTAGTCTTGGTTTTTAGACCAAACATAGCATCCAGTGGGAAGGCATGGTGCGGGAGACGTCAGTTCTCAGCAAAACTACCAGTTTTAAAGTACGCGAGAGTAGTGGTAAGGATTACTTTTTTTTTGTTGCCATGTTGCCATATTTAACTCTTTCTGCCCCGCACAGCCGCGTTGTGGAACGGTCTGTCCTCGGCGGTATTTCCAAACCAATACAACTTAGGGTCCTTCAAGAAGCGAGCC